ACTTTTTTTTTTCGAACTACTCCGCCACCCATTATTAGGTGACCAGGAGTGCCCCCACCCTCAGCCCAGCGACTCACAGCACCTTACGTTAACACCAGACAAAAATAAAAAAGGATAAGTCGCGGCACTCCCAGCTAGGAAAATTGAAAAAAAAACAAAGTAAGCAAAAGAAGTGCGGGAACCGGTTAATAAATAAAGAGAGCCAAAGTAGTCATTGCTGAAAGCAGCGGATGACTGTTCTACTACATCTAAGAAAGAAGTCATTCATACATGCATACATAATTGGTTAGTAGAGTGCATTCAGCCTTTCACTCCTAGAAGAAAAATCAGCAAATGGCAATCCAGTGGGGAAACATTTCTGGTCAATTCGAGCGCAGGTCAACAGCCAGACTTTCTAGGGCCCACCAGCTAAGCAGGGCTTGTTGCTGATGGACCCCTTCAAGTCCGGCGTTCCATTTGAGTGGGGACGTATCTCCTGTGTTGATAATCACAAAGGTAGGTTACATTATCAACACATCATTGTCAGCCTAGCCCAATAATAAATGCACCAATATGTCCATTTATTATTGGGCCACTTGTCGAGATGCTAAGCACTTTGTATGAAAAGTACTAGGTAAGCGTGTGTATTACGCTATTTAGGTATGTATTGCTATTTATTATCATGTTCTTGTTGTTTCTCTTATTGTAAGATTTAACATATTTTCATATTCATTTATAGGTATATTTACGAGGATACTTAGTACCCAGGATTACTTAACTAATACTTATTGCTAATACTTCACTTAAACTTTTGATAAGTACTTTTGCTTAGTACTCACTAAGTAAGATATTCTTTACATATTTTTTGAAAGTGTTTTTCGATTGAGGTACTTCTTCTAATAGAAGATCTTTAGCTATTAAGTCATTCCAGAGTTTGGGTCCGATGCAAGGAAATGAGTAGAGCCTGTAATTTTTTGTTGAAAAAACAGGTTGAAAATGATGGATATTTCTTGTCTGATGGATAGGGTCAGTTGAAAGATGAAGTAATCGTCTTACAGAGACTGGTAATTCCTGCATTATGTACTTATGCATGATAAGCATTATTTGAAGTTTGGCTACGTCTTTAATTTTAAGAATACTATATTTTTTAAATATTGGGGTAGCACTTTGTGGTGGGAAAATACCTTCAATTAGTCTCATGAACCTTTTTTGCAGAATTACCAGCCTTTGAAGGTGGTTTTCATAGTTGGAACCCCAAATGAAACAGCAGTAGTTGATATAAGGAAAAATCAAAGAATAACCCGCGAGTTGCTGGGGGGGGCGTTAAACGCCCCCACTTTTTTCGCCGGGCCATAGCATAAAAACGGCGCGCCGCAGGCGCGCCAAATTTTGGGTACCTGTAGGAAATTGATTGAAGTTTATTGTGACAAAGTTTCAAAAAAATCAGTCGGAAAATTTTTGAGATATCGAGGTTTTAGTGACGTCATGATTTCTGAGTTTTCGACCAAAAACGGCATATGTTCAAAAAATCATATAAAATCACAGAATAGACATATAGACATGCCGTAAATGCCATTAGACTGCCAATACCATGAAGAATCAAATGGCTATCTTCGATTATTGATTATCGTTCCGCATTTTCCAAAATCTTGAACTGAATCTTGGCAATTTCTCGTGACTACTTCACGACCATGATACATGAATATCTTAAATTGAACTTTTTTAGCCAAACACGTACACATATGATAAAATGAATGTCACCATCGTGTTCTACGCCCCAAATTACCCATAAAACATGTGTCACAGGCTGCGAATATCAGTTTTTATTTTCGGGGATATGCACCCGCCCGGTTGACCTGACCTTGACCCTGACCTATGCTTGACTGACCCCTGCATGGAGCTGACACTCTTGTAGGCCTTATATGATGGATTGTGCACCGTTTTGACAGAGTTTATGACGAGAGGCGCCCATTGCGAAGTCCTGAAGTCCATGCTACTGAAAGCCCGATTTCAGGTGTTTGACCTGACCTTGACCTGACCTGTGACCTCAAAATTCAACTTAAAAGTACTCATCTGAAGCGTCTCGTCGCGTTCTTTCGTTTGCCGCCTCGTGCGTTTCGCTGCGCCTATTGGTTCTCGAGTTATCGGCTGGGGGCGTTTAACGCCCCCCCCCCCAGCAAACGGTGGGTGGCGAAATACCCCAGCAACTGCCGGGATAATATAATTGAATGAGCTGCTGTTTTGGGATAAAGCGTCTAGCTCTTGCAATCATTCCAATGTTTCTGCTGATAATTTTACATATGCTACTGATATGAGATGTGAATTTGAGGTCAGAGTCAATAAGGATTCCTAAATATTTCACTGTTTTCATTTCAACTACTGCTGTGTTTCTAATGTAAATGTTTAACTTTTCAGCAGTTCTCCGTTTTGAATATACTTGGAGAAATGTTTTTGATGGGTTCACTGTGAGGTAGTTTGCTTCTAGCCATTCAGATATTTTTGACAGGGCTGCATTTGTTATTTCTTGAAGTGTTTCTCTGTTTTTATGTTTGAAAAATATTGCAGTATCATCTGCATACAACATAATTTGCCCTTCAATTGGAAGATTTGCAATGTCATTTAAGTATAGAATGAAGAGGAGTGGTCCAAGAATTGACCCCTGCGGCACTCCTATTTTTATTTCTCGTTCAGTTGACTTGACCCCTTCTATCTGTACCACTTGAAATCTGTTTGTTAAGTATGATTTGATTGTTTTTAGAATATTTCCTCGAAAACCCATTTTGTTTAACTTTTCTAGTAGTATTTGGTGTTCTACAGTGTCAAATGCTTTTGAAAGGTCAAGAAAGACACCTGCTATAATGTTATTAGTTTCCAGTGCTTCAGTTATGTAGTCTTGAATAAGCATGACTGGCATGTAGGTAGAGTTATTTTTCCTGAATCCAAATTGATTGTCTGAGAGAATGTGTCTGCTTGTTGCAAAGTCTGTCAGTTGGTAGTGGATAACCTTCTCTAATATTTTTGAAATTATTGGCAAAATGCTTATTGGTCTGTAGTTAGATAAGCTATTATGATCTCCACTTTTGAATATTGGCTTCACAGATGCTATTTTTAAAGGATCTGGGAAGGTTCCTGTTGAGAGGCATAGGTTGAAGAAATAAGTAAGCTTTGAAAGGATAGGTTTGTAAGAATGTTTCAATATTTTTGAATTGATTCCATCAATTCCAGCACCAACATCTTTAAGCTGTTTAATTATTTGTTCCACTTCATCATCAGTGACACTAGAAAAGTTAGTCATTTCTCCTTCTGTCTCTCGAACATTTTCTAAGGGATTTGTGTTGTTACAAGGAATATTTTGTTTCAACTTTTCCCCTATTTCTGTGAAAAATTTGTTGAAACTTTCAGCCATTGACATCATTTCTTGACCGCTATTCTCAGTGTTGTTTAGTGTTTCACCTGGCAAAATATCACATTTACTTTTTTGTTTTAGAAGTTCATTTAATGTTTCCCATGTCTTTTTGGGGTTCCTGTTGTTTTTTTGAAATTCTGCTTCATAGTAGGCCTTCTTTGAGTTTGTAATTGCCCTATTTAGACAGTTTCGATATTTGTTGTATTGTGCTATATTGTATGAATTTGGATTTTTAAGTTTGTTCACAAACATTTTGTTTTTGTGATTGATGGAACAGAGTATAGCTGGGGTCATCCATGGTTTTATGAAGTTATTTTTTCTTGAGCATGTTATGGTTTTTGAACACATAGCAATGCCGTCCTTGTATGCTTGTATAATCTGTATGCAGGCCAGTTCAGGATCTGTTTGAGTGGTGAGATCATCAAGACTCTCTATTAGGTGGCCCTTCAGGTGTTCAATTTTATTGTAATCAAATACTGTTCTTTCCTTATCCTTCTTTTCTAATATTTTATTTTCAACATTTGCAGTTGTAAAGATTACAAGGTGGTCTGAAAGGTCTGTTACAATTACCCCTGGTACTACTATTTTAGACAAGTCATTTGTGAAGATATTATCAATAAGAGTACTTGAGGTTGGGGTAATGCGGGTAGCTTTAGAGATAGTTGGCAAAAATCCAAAACTGCACATCAATGTAAAAAATGATTCATTTGCAGAATTATTATTAATTGAGAATAAATCAAAATTGAAGTCACCTGCAATGAATGCAAGCATGTTTAGTGCGGTTAAGGCGGAAAGAAACTGTTCCATTTCAAGAAGAAATTCCCATTCATTATCAGGGGGTCGGTAAATTTGACAAATAAGGAAAGATGGCTTGTTTCCATTAGTTACCTGTAAGGTAACTACTTCTGCTGTTTTGAATTCATGTAGTATTATCTTTTGGATGCCAGTGAAATATTTGTCATAAGCAAAAATTGCTGATCCCCCTCCTACTTTAGCTTCTCTGCTTTTGTAGAAAGCCATATATTCATCCCCTAAGCAAAACTTATTTTCTATTTTTGGATTGAGCCAGGTCTCTGAAATGCATACAAATGCCATCTTCTGGTCTATTTGTGCCAAAAATGTTACAATTTCATCAAGTTTATTTACCATTGAACGTGCGTTTATATGGATGATAGAAATGTTATTTTCAAAACAGTTCAGGCTTCTCACCTTGGTACATTCATGAAATTTGCAGCTGGTCCTGACCTTATCATATTGGGAATGAGTCGTGGATATGTTGCTTATATCATTTATGAAGGGATCAAAGGTTAAATTATAAAGATCAGATAAGGTTGACTCGTCAGCCAGCGTACCAGTTACCGCGATAGATAAGAAAAACTACGCTCAAATGTACTACGCGTATCACCACTTGTTTGTAGCACTACTGATTGAGGTGCCTCTGAGGAAGAGGAATAATTGTATTGTGTTATTTGTTTGTTTCTCTTGTTGTAACTACAATAGTACAACATTTGGGCAGTAATCTTTCCAAGGTATTTTATGAAAATTCAAAACCTGCTATTATATTCAGTATTATCACAAAATGCCAAATAATTGTAATGAGCAAAGTGAAAGGAAAGATAAAAGTGATGTTTGCCAGTAGACAAATCTGGATGACGAAATACGTTTTACCCATTCATAAGGAATATGTAAATTAGGGGAGCACGTGTTTTGTAGTACCAGCCAAGGTCTCGTGTGTAAATTGTAATGTGGGGCTGTGTAGGTACCAGTGGCTGGCAGGGGATGATAGAAGAAAGGTAATACCAATACCTTACTATGTTATTAAATGTGTTTTATATTAATTTCAATGTTTCAAACTTGTTTGAGGCTAATTCATTGGGTGAAAGTTTATGTCTGCATTAAGGTGACATGTGTTCGGTTGATTCAAATCAAAATGAAATCAGCCACAAAATGGCCATGCATATGATATTGCAAACATTCACCAGAGGAGGCTGAGACACGTTTAAACATTAGCAAGGACAAGGGACTTAAGGTAGGTCAGTGTGTGTGTGGGGGGGGGGGGGGGCTGCCGGCTGATGATTTGAGACATGCTGGTGAGCAGAGGATAGCCTGTTTTTTTATTTTTAAAGAACATCATGAGGTAAGAGAAGCAGGCAGGTCCCTGGCATAGCTCATCAATTTCACCTGAATGATCATAGAAGGAAAAGCTATTTCAAAAGCAAAACTATAGGCTTCTAGAAATATTTACAATACTCTTTTATACCAGCACTCAGCTAAAACTTGTATCGCTCAGTCAGGGGAATTGCTCTGTGCTTACTGTTGAGCAACATTGTAGTGTTAGTCTCAACATATTTATTCAGTTGCCACTAAGATAAACCAACATTGGAGGGTAATAACTGGAATGTCCTTCAGCCTGTTTTCCAGGTCTCAGTCTGCTCCTTGGCAGAACTTTGTTTTATTGCCATAGCAAGTCTTTGCTGTGGAAACTCCATAATTTTCAATGTGCTCAGGAGTGGTTGCACTCAAATTTATTTACATGTCCCTGATGCTCTGTGTTAAAAGCTCTATGTTGTAGAGTTTGGGCTTGTTTGCACTAACTGCATCAGGCAGACGTGCAGCCTCACTCACTCATTCACACTCACACTCACTCACATGCTCCCACGCCACACCAATAGCACACCGGCAGTGTGAGCGGGAGCATGTCCAGGGACATTTATGAAAAACCATTGCATTGTTTGTTTATATGCTAAGCCAAAGTTCTTCCTCCAATGATGTTTACCAAAGTTGCGAATAGGTTTGGCACAGCTGAAAGAGATTCCCTGTCAAGTGACATTGAGCAGATGTAGTGATAGCACAAGTGCTGGCTAGTTAACTAAGATATTTTTTTTAATCAGTGCCAGTCCTTCAAAGATCATCAGTGGTTTAAACAGAGCCCCTCTGTCCAGGTCCACCACGCCCACCCCTGCCACCTCTCCTGTTCCGAGTGACCACAAACTCCTCAAGGTCAGCCCTCTGCTCAGCAACTCGTCCTGATGGGATGTTGTTCAGGGTCTGGGAGCGAAGGAAGTTTTGGTTGGATGACTGTGGGGTGTTGTTTCTTTTTGGGGCCTGTTCCACAGCTTGGATGATTTCGTCCTTGGTCATGTTGGCTCGGATGGGGATGTATCTCTGGTCTCTGGTTTTGCGTGCCATGATGACGCCGTTCTTGGTATGATAGTTGCAGATTTGGCCAGCCTCCCACATGTCACCCAGCTGCTGGATCTGCTTTGATCTTTTGGCTGTCAGGTTTTCATGGATGGTGATCCTTGCCTGTGCTGTCTGTGTTTGACTGAATTTGGATTCGTAAACCGCATTGCGGTCATCCAGATCCTGGAATTTTATGATGACACGTTTGTTGTTTTTTAAGCGATGGCAAGCAGATATCTGTCCCTTCAGCTTTACTCCTAGTTTTTCCTCGATCACGGCTTTGGTCAGCTGACGAGTCTCAGAAGGAGTCTCATAGTGGTCAGCTTTGGCTTGCGGAAAGCCTCCACCTCCCAAGATCAGGGAATCCTTGCGGCTGTACTGTTCCACATCATCTAAGGCCTGGTCAAGTTCTGCTAGGGTCTTTTTCAGTGTCTGGTTTTCATCCTTCAGTTTTTGTATCTCCTCTTTCACTTTTTTGTTTTCCTCCCAGATTTTTTTCATCTCTCCCTCCATCTCACTAGTCACCTCCTTAACAGCTTCCTGAATAAGTCTCTTAACATCCCCTTCCTCCATGGCACCTCTATGCGCAGATGCTACTTTACTTTATGCTGAACTGCAAACAAGTAATGGTTTGAAAGTGAGAAGTCTAAACTCTAGTCAAAGGTTACGTTAACAATTATAATAGCCTTGAGACAAAAAAAAAAACTATTTTAATCCTATAATATCCTCGGCCTACCACTAAATCACCACACCGACCACACCCAAGTCTTACGAGGAAGTCTTACGAGGATACTGAAGTCACAGTTTCATTACAGTTATTTTGTCTGTGGCGATTTATTTCGCACATTTGGCAATTCTTTATCCGACATCTCTGGCCTGGTATTTCTAGATTATCTTCCCTATTCCAGAGGCCTGTGCTTTGTATGAGGAAGCTGTGTTACCGTGCTCTCTTGTTTTTTTTTTTTTTTGCATTGGATATGGATTGTAATAAATGTTTGTGTGCATCACTCGTCTTTGATTGCTGGGGACGATTGAAGCATTCTGTATTGGTTTTTGTCATGATTTAGGATCTTTCGACGCGCGGTTGAGAAATCGACGCCTACCTCGTAACGCATCTATAAAAATTAAGGGCATGAAACAATTGCAGATATCTCTGCTTTAGAAAATGTGGGTAAATATACTTGTTTGAAACTAATCACAGTGGTTGCAAACCTACCGACCAAATGTGGAAGTGGGAAGGGAATAACGGGAATGACCAGTGACCACCCAAGAGATCATAAATTCGTGGAGCCGAAGACCCTGATGAATGCTTTCACGTGTCAGCCAGGTATGTCTCGAAGAAGACGTTCTTGAGTAGAGAGAAGAAGACGATAACGACACACAGCAGGATGATGCTACAAATCTAATCCAAAATATTGTTTTGCATTCAATATTGAATTGGTGTCAATAATTATATTGTTGAAATAGCACGTTCGTGCTTAAACTGTTATATCGTTGTTGCCAAACATTTTGCAAGACATTTTTAAGCATAACATGAAGCGAGAAGCAAAACCTCACGGTAAGGCAATCCCCATCTTTTGATACGACCCCAAGGGATTTGAGGCATTTTATTAAATTACGAAGTACGATTTAGATTCCTTTCATATTTTGCTTTGTCTGCTTATAATAGCATCACAATCGAAGTGCGAACAACAAATTATCCTTCCAAGGGCGCTTGGCTGCGGGCAGAGTGATCTGCCCACAACTGATCCTTGCCTTATCCCACTTCCTGGTCTCCAGGGGTCAGCGGGGGTCATTCTCAGACCCAGTCAGCCCAGGAGACGCGCGGTCTCGAAAAGTACGAGAAACTCGGCAAGCTAGGCGAGGGCTCCTACGGCACCGTCTACAAGTGTCGAAATCGAGAGACGGGTCAAATCGTGGCCATCAAGAAGTTCCTCGAGGCAGAGGATGACCCGGTCATCCGTAAGATCGCTGTTCGAGAAGTGCGCATGCTAAAGGTAAGCTTTGTGCTTCGTAGTTCGTAACTGCTCCTTTGATTAAGCCCAAGGCTCAGCCTTGGCCATTGCTCAATGGCTTTCCTTTTAGTGACATTCCTGGTCACGTTGATTGCTAATAAATTTCTAAAATTAACTTCGCTGAACCTATGTATTTTTCTCGAGCCGTCCGTTTCTGTGGACATCGAACACGATCGAGTAACCTGGCTGTGGCCACCTTCTGTTCTGCCGCCTCGTCTGACCGTGCGGCCGTCCCGCGCAGCAACTGAAGCACCCGAACCTGGTGAACCTGCTGGAGGTGTTCAGGCGCAGGAAGCGACTTCACCTGGTGTTCGAGTTCTGCGACAGCACCGTGCTGGATGAGCTGGAGAAGTCCAACAAAGGGTTAGTCGCGCTGCCGAAGGGGTGCAGGACGGGTGGTAGGGTAGGTGGTATACCAGCGCCGTTAGCCGCCGATGACCACCGCAGTCCGGGCGCCCTAAATCCCGAAATCATCACCAAACCAGTGCCGTTTGAATGTGATATAATAGATAATAATAACGTAAGGCGAATTTGTCCTTTATTTGCTCGCGTGAATCCGCGATTAAAATATGTGTTTTGATGGCTATTGCATACGCGTCACGATTTCCAAGTACGCATTGCATACACTGCTGTCAAAAGGAAGGTGATGCGATTTTTATAACCTGTGTCTTATCTGCACTTTTCATTACAAGCGTTTTATCTCACTGACTGACACACCCTAATAGTCTGATATCATCATGAGCTGATACGGCATTTCCCTCAAACCTCACTGGCCGTGACCTACTTCGACAGCAGGATGAGTGAGGAGCGGGCGCGGAAGATCATCTGGCAGGTGCTTCAGGCGGTTAACTTCTGCCACTCGCGCAGCTGCATCCATCGAGACGTGAAGCCCGAAAATCTGCTCATCTCCAAGGACGGCGTCGTCAAGCTCTGCGACTTTGGCTTCGCTCGCAGCATGAGTACGGTGCCACTGTAGGAATGGGAAGGATTGACGAGGGGGCATTGTTGACGCGGCTTTGAATGTTGTGAATTAGGGTATTTGTCGACTATAAAGAGGCATTTTAACCAGTTCCTAGATCACCGTCATCTGGTGTAATCAACCGAAGCACCCGATTGATGTTTATTTTTTCATCATCTTATTTCAGTTCTTACTTCTGTTTTCGGGCTTATTTGGAAACTATCAATGGACCGGGGTTTAGATTGCGCCTAAGTATGCGAAAGGACATAATCAATATCGCGCTGAATATTTTGTTTAGTTAATTTTAGAAACCTGTTTTTACGAGGGTTTGCTGTATTTGCAGATGCTGCCGATTCTACGTTTCCTCCAATAATGATAAGCTCAGGGCCCTCAGGAAATGTCCCAATCGGATCTCGGAATCCGCTGCCCAAGAAGCCTGCTTTCATTCTTGCAGGCAGGCACATTATTTCTTATCTCGTAGAGTCATTGGATAGAGTATAACACGCGTTCGGTTGTTATATCGCTACGATAACCGCTGTCATGCTGGGATCATGAAGACTGCTCCTTATTCTAGTCTATGGTCCGACACCAAACACAATATCCCCACCCCCGGATCATGTCCCGCTGTTTGGTCACCGACACCCCTCTCATCCCTGTCTGTGCAGGCGGCCAGGGTGAGAACCTGACCGACTACGTGGCCACGCGCTGGTACCGGGCTCCCGAGCTGCTGGTCGGCGACACTCAGTACGGGCCGCCGGTGGACGTGTGGGCCATCGGCTGCGTGCTGGCTGAACTGGTGCGCGGCCACGCGCTGTGGCCCGGCCGCTCCGATCTTGATCAGCTCTACCTCATCAGGCGGACGCTAGGTGGGTGGCGAGGGGACAGGCAGAGGTGGGTTGTGGACGGTAGGACGGTGGGTTGGGACACGGGAGGATGGTGGGTGGGGATTCGGGAGGACGGTACCTATGTAAATACCTATGATTAGTGAGTACAGCTGAGGACAGTGCTGAGGACTGAGATGAGGACAATAATGAAGAAAAAGGTTGGCCGTTCATTCATTCATTCAGTCAGTCATTAATTGATTCATTTATTCATTCATTCATTAGATTGACGTATGTTTCTATTGCAGGCGAGCTTCTGCCCCGACACATGCAGATCTTCAAGGCGAACAGGTTCTTCCGAGGCATGAGCATCCCGGAGTCGGATAAGAAGGACAGTCTGGAACAGAAACTCTCCAAGTACTGCAGCAAGGAGTGCATGGACTTCGTCATGGTGAGCTAGCTGCACAGCTGATGGTGTCGAGGAGAAATGGGATACTGTATGAATCTTAGACACATAATGATAAGTCTAATACGTTGTATTCGTCTAGCTTCGCCATCAATTAATTTTAATCCACCTGTTTTGGAAACTCCTTTTTACATCGGCAGTATTCTTGTATTTTCGGGATTCCAGTATTCTTGGAATCCCGTCCCACTTGCGTCGAGTATTGCGGCACAGCTTGTGTGCAGGCGTTCGAAGCCAGCGCCATCTATGCACGTTAATGTAAGGATATTTATTTGCGTGGTATATTCTCCCCTCACACTATAGGTGTACTGCATATCATGCATACTAGCCAATAACCTCTGTCTTTTTCAGCACTGCGTAGACAAGGATCCTGAGACGAGGCCCACGTGCGCTCAGCTGATGAAGCACCCCTTCATGAAGGTCATGTCGGAAAAGGTCAGTGCTGCCACTACCAGCCGTCCTCTACATGTGAGCGATGTACTTAACCCGCGCATGACTGGGTATTTTCCATAACGCGAGTGACTGGGGGGGGGGGGGCTCTCCAGAGCCCCCCCCCCCCTCCTATCTCCGAAACTACTGGGCCGATCGTGAAAACTCAAACGGCGTCTGATAACCCTGGAAAAACTGTCGAGCGAAACCTATTTTCATTGACCTCGAGGTCACCGATGACGTCACAGGTCAGGTCAAAGTAAAAATTATCGACACTTTTGCTAGTTCACAATTTAGGCTCTGACCGCCGGACCGCCGGTCCGATCAGGCTCATTTTTGGTTTACGCACTTCTTGACGGATGCCTTAGATACCCTGAGGGTACCGAACTTTTACTTCGAATTTTTAAGGTCAAGGCCAGGTCATCCTAGGTCACGAAAATTGTATATCATGTATCGGTCACGTGACGCATGTTTTATGGTCCATTTTACTCGTAGATTTCGAAAATAGTGTCGTCTATCATTTGGGGTCATTGTCAGCTGAATTTACCGGAGGTCAGGTCACTTTCAGGTCAGAAAAGGTCAAATTTTGAAAATGAAATTTTTCAACAAAAAAAGTTGCCTATCAGATGCAGTTTGAGCTCAGGAACACGATGGTGCCATTTATATTGCTGTGCGACATCAAAAAATGTACTGAAAAATGGATTTGAAAAAACATAAAATGTAAAATTTTGACAATAATGCGAATAACTTGGCTGTTTTTGAAGACATTAGGCTAAAACTTGCAAAGGTAGTTCATCAGTGTGTGTTTTTTTTTCACATATACTCCGGTTTTTGGGAAAAGTCAAAAACTTTTTGAAAAAAATAAAAAAATTATTGTAAATACATATTTTTCAAAATTTTCAAAATTTCGAAAATTCGAGATAGCAGTTTGATAGCTACGTGTATTTGTAGTCCACTCATGCAAAAAAAATGGATCTAGCTTTAAAACTGAGCTCTTGAGAGCGTTTGCCGTAATTCAGTGTTTTGCTTAAAAATCGGCCGACATGACGTCACTCTGACGTCATTTCCAGCCAAACTATGGTAGCTAGAAAGTTGAAATTTTAACACAAGGTGTCAAATTGATGCCTCTGAGGGTACCGCAAGTTTCGTGTTGATCCGTCAAACGGTTTAGAAAATATTGCTGAAAAACGGGAGGGTGGGCTCTGTGGAGCCCCCCCCCCCCCCCCCAGTCCTGCGTGGGTTAAACCCAACAGCCGTGCTTTGTCATACTTCCTACCCTTCTACCATTCAGTCTGTTTTGCGAAGCTTTAATTTTATCTGCGCTCTTCTACCACCCACAGCCTCCCCCCTCTCCTACCATTCCTATCTCCCCTCTCCTCCCATCACATTCCTTCTCCCCTCTCCTTCCATCCCTCACCTCCTCTCTCCTCCCCCACCAGTCGGCCGGCCGTCTGCCGCGCCTGCCGTCTGGTCAGGGCAGCTCGGCACCGCCGGCCGGTAAGTCGCCCGACCAGCGCCGCTCGCCAGCCACCAACGGGTCACTGCCGCAAATCAGGGACGGCCAGACCCTGCAGCCGGCCGCCCCACAGCGCGAGAAAGCCGTGTAGCGCCGCTGATGGTCGGGAGAGAGTGATGGGGAAGAGGTGCCGGTACATACCTGGCACGGGTCTTCCCTGAGCTGAGGACTAGTGCGCAGTATGTCTAGCTGGGTGTGTTGTGCTAGACTGCCGTTGTTCGTGTACTCGTATGTGTGCCAGGTATGGTAAAAAAAAATGTTAGTAAGGAGTGTCAGAGTGCATTCTCGAATGTCGTGCTCCATGGTATGATGAGTGATATGCGACACCGGTAATAGGTATAAGTAAAATGGGTGTAAAGCGCTTAGCATCGGTGCAGAACGCCGCGTCTTCTGCTTTCTTTGCTGTACTTAATTGTTACCGGGTGTTCTCTGTGCGTTTGCCGTGGTAATTATTCGTTAAATATGTGATGTTTATTGATTCAGTCGAGCACCCAGGCGTGTGCAGGGCGTGTGCTCCGTGTAACAAGCCTTTGTTGGTGTTTACTTATTTGACGCCCCTATTGACGGGTTGTGTCTGATTGTTTTGTTCAATGACTTCTTCATGCTGAATAAAACTTCGACTATTTTTCTAAAGCTTATGAGAAAGTTTAGCAGTGTGGAAAATGGATATGAAGACACTGTTGGTTTCTAAATCCCGCCATGGCATGGCTCCCTTCAGTTATAAATCACCACTCCCCGTACAGACATATACGGCTGGTCTGAAGTGGGTGTCCGCCCCCTCACAATATCAATGTCTGTCGGTGGAGTGGCGGCTGATATACCGTCCCGGCAGGTCTATCAGTTGACCAGCGGGGGTCCCGGAGCGCTGTCGTGAGCACATTTCGCAGCGGCCACGGGCCCCCACCGAGCGGTGGAGGGCCCCTGCCGGACAGACAGAACCAAATTGGCACCGCACTGCCGCCAACGTGGAAACGTAAATCATAGCCGATCGACTGCAAAGTCTCGTGTGCATTTTTAATACTGCATGCCTACTTTATTAGCTAGGTTACATAAAGTTTCTGTGACTAAGAATGCATGGTACTGGGGAGTTCGTGTTCTCTCTCTTTCTCTCTCTCTCTCTCTCTCTCTCTCTCTCTCTCTCTCTCTCTCTCTCTCTCTCTCTCTCTCTCTCTCTCTCTCTCCCGCGGCCCCCTCACTGTCTCATTCAACGAAACAATTGCCTCCCCGCCCCTCGGTTTTAATTTAGCCACCGCTTCTGCCTCAGTCAATAGCGTCAAATCATTTGCATTCTATCCCGGCCTATACGTATGGCCATGGTTTTCTGTGTTACAGATATGAATACAGCCGACCCTTATACATAGGATCAGCGTCAGGGCGCGTATAATTGTGCTCAGACTGACAGTCATGGGCAGATCTTTGGACCAATGATCTGTGGGGGTGAGTCGCGGTTTTTCGAAAGCTCTCTGAATACTCGCGGAATGAGCTTTGGTAGTTTCTGTCAATGAACGATGAGTTTTTTTCCAGAAATGGTGGTGCAGCTGGTGAAACTTTCCTCAATTCACTCTTATTTTGGTCGCAACCCATAGCCGTTTTCTAATGACGGCCAGCAGGTAGTAAAGGAATCTTGGCCAGCAGTACTTAGGCTGCAACACGAATCAGAATGTGACGCTTTTTTGTGGTGGAGGAACACGTCGTTTTCGCCTAGCTGATCACCGGATTGATTGCGCTCGTCGTACGAGGTGACTTCATTAGCTTAAACGCTTGAAACCTAAACGCTGTTCATGCAGATCCCAGACAGCCTCTTTGCAGGTGTGACGACGCTTCCATGCCCCTCCCCCCCCCCCCTGCCCGCTCACCCGGCGTTTCCCCACTGTGTGTGTATATGATAACGCGATGCGCCACGCACGCGCCCCTCCCGCGTCACGCTCCGCCACCCGGCCGGTGACTAATGACGTCACTCATTGACCTGTCTGCCGGCCGCCGTGATTTACGGCCGGCCGGAGATGACGTCATCGGAGGCACGGATTTGCCGCGGTGCTGGTGGGATGTTCGGCAGCTTGGTGCCAGATTGAACGCCAATAACGAGCGAAGAGAGGGAAGGCAGCGGCCAGTGAGCACTCGCCTTGACGTGTTGTTTTCTAGACAATGGTAGGTAATAAAAATTAACGATCATATTTGCAGATTAATAACATCGAACCATCGTTGTATTCCGGATCCCTAGATGGCAATCCAGTGCAATCAACATGCCAATAAATTGCGCTAATAAGTCCACCTAAAATGCACAACAATTTGAAGTGCCTTGGAAACATGGACTCGTGTTTATTTGCCGTCGGGCATTTAGCGCGCACCGCTCGTTTTGTGGGGTATTTACGACTTGCCAGCATCGTCTCTGACAAACACAATATACGTGGTGTTCGTGGTGTCGTTCGCCAATTCTGGCCGGCTTTGCGGCCATTGAGGCGTCCCGGGGCGGCACTTTGGCCGGCCGATTCGGCCTTTGTTGCGCGCCGGGCGTCGCACCTCGGGGTTACTCTGTGCGCGGGCTCGCGGTGCCGCCATAAAGATAATTGCCTTTCCCCGCTGCCTTCTCCAGTCATAGCTCACACAGTTTGTCTTCATAAACGACGTCTGAGTTATGGGCCCGGTCGGACGTGTCAGGTCCGCTTAAACAAAACACCGACCGCATTTAGCAGTGTTCGTAATATCAAATGGCCCTGGAACTTGGGACTAGCCTTAAGCCTGGTGCTTGGTTTGTGAAGAGAGAAGATGGCTACCGTGCATCTATACGCTTGTTTTTTAACCCTCACCCGCACAGGGGGGGGGGGTTGCCACCCCCCCAGGTAGTCTTTCTGCTCTGCACTCTACATTTTTAGAGCTAGAGGCCTGATTTTTGGTATAGCTGCTCCTCTATCCTTTCTTGATATCCACTGAAAATTTCAGGTTTCTGTGGTTTTTGGTTTCGGAGATATGACCTTGTTTTTCAGGTCATGTCATGACCCAAATGACCAATTCTCAACATCTTGCATTGGCTATGGGCCTTGTGAGCTTTTGACACCTTGATTTCGGCCCTTTTTGCCAGTCTTACCTCTCACCTATCATGGAACATGTTGTTTGACGATGTACAGATGTCAAGGTCAGGGTCCAGGTCAACCTAGGTCATCTAAAATAATTGCGTTTTAGGCAAGCTGAATTTACTTTTCGTGCAGTTTTTTGACTGCATTTTGGGTAAAAGCTTCTTAGGTTATGATTTCATGTAATATGGGCACATAAACAATCGGTGCACACATCAGTATACACTCAGACACACACAGACATACAAACACATATCATTGACCTTGACCTAGCTTGACCTGAAATGACCTCAGCAGCAAAAACCTGGTCGGGTAGTATGACAAATCGTTCATTCAAATGGAGATGAAGGACCTAAGGTCCACAGTCAAAGTGAATTGCCTGCAGTTATGACATAGGTACCCAACATAGGTATGACCAATGACCATGACTAAGAATCCGGGGCACTTTCCGTTAAATTTAGCCGTATGCGCGCACCATTTTACTCCCATTGCTGGCAGTGGGTATCAGGAAGCTGACAGTGGCCCTTCTTCACCCGAACTCTGGCTAAAGGAGTCCATCCTCAGGCTCATTGTTTTCCAGTCTGCCCCGTGCGCTCTGGGAGGCTCTGTGTTCCAAATCCTCCGGTTCATTGTTTTCTCCACATTCACTATCAGCTCTCTGCCAGTTGGACCGAGCGAGCGCCGGCTCTGAAGAGGGCTAATTTCGAGCACATGGTTAAGTGGCCCTGTCAACTGTGGCTGTCTACCCGATGCTAATTATGCATTCACTGAGAGTGCTCTTATAAGGGTCGAGGACTCGCGATACGCTCGGATTTAGTGCCGTAAGTCGGAAGACGCGCCATTGTTCGATATCAGCCCGAGACCCGTCGCTGGCGGACCTGCGTCGTCGGCTGAATTGCTAATTGAAACCTGCCGACACATGAAACAGATATATGTCGATTCGATTAAATATCAAAGCTCTATTGCTCCGTGTCAATTGTAATAATATTTTCTGCCAATACGTGTAAGGTCGAAACGAGCCCGTTGGCGCGAGAAAGAGATGTTTTCCTACCGATGAGATTACGAGTGTCTGGAAACGTGACAAATGCGACATTTTTACAGCGCGGCGCAAAATAACGAGCCACTTAAGAAGCCCTTGTAAACGATGCAGGCACTCTTCTAAGATTTCACAAGAGGCTGTTTAATATCCAACTAGTTTCATTTAATCATGATGCTTCTAATTTCCCGTTCTAATTTTTCTCTTGACGTCGAAAAAGGTGGTGGGACATAGAAGGGGAGAACCGCACCCAATTAGCGTCTATTTTATATCATGCACGAAACTCGTTTGTTGTTCAAAAAAGTCAGAATTACATAGAAAAATGTATCTTTCCTGTAGTCAGCTTCGACCTGTGGCACCCACGAATGCTAATTTCGTTTCCGCTGCAACGGCGACTGCTAACGCACTGGTCACGTGGCCTTTCAAAACGCCGTGACCGATCGGTCAGCATTAGTGAGGGACAAATCGCTGGGCGCTCGAGTCGGCACGGGTCACCGGGCTATCCATCAGATGAGTCGCCGAGCCCCGATGAGTCGTCACCTCCGGAGCCGACGCACCCCACAATGGCCCTCGGGCGACCCCCTGTCGCCAGCGTGTTGACACGTGCGGCTTCGCAATGTTTTATGCCGTTTTTCTGCTGCGTAACGTCGTCGTGCTGTGTCGGCTCTTCAGCCGCATTCACTGTGGAGAGGCGGAAGCAGCCTGCTCTGATTAATAGTGATCGATGGAATTCCGGACTGCCCATCTCGCTGGCTCTCCCCGTTCGTTCTGCGCCCCCCTCTGTCCACGCCATTGTCCGCTCGTGTACCCAGCTCAAATCCTTTGGCTAAATAGAAAACGAAAGTCATCCCGATCGCATTTTTTACTGAACAAGCGATTGCTATTCATGGTTGTAGCAAGCTACTTGGCTAACTTTTCGACACCATAATATGTGTTTATATCTAATCGTTGCACGTGACCCAATTACCGGCAAATTATTGCACCCCTTTGACAGGAAAACTGTACAAATGAGGCGTTTATCCGCCAATATTTGCGGTGTCCCGCGGCGGGCCGGCCGCCCGTGGCGCCGTACGTGACGCGGCGCGGCGGCTCCTGGCCGGTTCACGCGATCGCCGAGCGCCTGGTGAGTGGGCACGGGGGACGACCAGGCCAAATTAGTGGGATCTGCTCACAGGAGCGCTCTGTGTGCACCTCGTTAACACACCAATTACCACCGCGCGCGTGTAATTACCGGTCAGAGGCGCGGCGGCAGGTAGCCTCCAGGTGCGACTTCCTGTCCCAGGGGAGTAGGGAAGGGTGGGACACTTATATGTAGTAACACGGGCGCCCCGTCCCCCCCCCCCCCCCACCGTGCCCGGACCACAGAGGTGCAGAGACTCGCGTGAGTAATGCCCAGTCCACGTGCACCCCTTTACCGGTGGCAGTCGCACCCATGTAATGAGCTGTAATAACCGTCGGGATTTATAGTCACTGTGCATCGCTGCTCCCCCCCCCCCCCGGCCTCCCTCCACTGATCAGGCGCTTGTAACCAATGGTGTCCATGTCCTATTGCCACCCCCGCGAACTCCCAGCGTCGATTGACGGAGATAAAGTATCCGCTAGTGCTAGTCCGACCAGAATCAAATCAGGTCTGCATCAGTGTAACGCTTCTATACGTGGATAATAATCACAAGAATAGCACATGTAATGCACACCGACCAAACAAGATCAAACTGTCATCTGAAATGATCTTGACAGTGCCCAATTATGCGCGGCTGTCAGAGCAGGAAGCGACATTCCAACTTTCTTCTCCCCATTTCGTGGTTCCCGGAGCGAACTGCAGCGTATTCCTTTCAGAAAGAGATCCATTAATCCTCATCAGACGTCGGATGATATACACCAGGAACCGGTGCTTACATCGCACCGAGCACCACAAATTGATTTCCACTCCCCCAGGGGAGCACCGGTCTGTACCTTCCCGGTGGGAAGGGGGGGGGCTCCTGTCTGGGGAAGGGAGAGCAGGACTAATTACACCCGCGCGCTCGGTAATTCAGCCAGTGAACTGAACGATATTTGCATTCGGCGCCGGCTGAAGGGGTCCACCTGTTCGACCGTCACGGGGCAGGTGACCCGTGGCGACCTAACCAGGTGTGCTGGGGACGGTGGACGCCGCACGACACGGCAGGGACAGACCGGGACAGACGGACGCCGCCGTGGTCTCCGCGAACGTTAAACAAGAAAGGGGAACGTCAGGTGCACGAGCAATGGGACAAATATTCGGAATTCGCCCCCGGCCTGATTGGAAACAATAATGTTGAAAAATTGCAACCAAAAAAGCTATACCACAGAAA